GTAGCAGAAATGTTAAATTTTTGCCGATATTCAAGAGTAAACAAACGACCTCACACATCTAATACACATCAGCTGGTGGGTCCTGGAGTGTGTTCCGGGGGTCAACGCCCCCGCGGCCCGGTCTGTGACCAGGCCTCCTTAGGTCAGTGTCCCAGGATGCGACCCACACCAGTCGACTAACACCCAGGTACCCATTTTACTGATGGGGAACATAGACAACAGGTTGAAAGAAACACGTCCAATGTTTCTACTCTGGCTGGGAATCGAACTCAGGCCCTCACCGTGTGAAGCGAGAGCGTTAACCACCAGGCCACCAGAGCCCTAATATACCTTCACAAATATGGTGATATTTATACAATTATTACAGTATTGCATAACAGTAAATCTTCTATTTTTTGGTGTGAATAAAAATTCATTGTGAATAAAAAATCAAAATGGAATTTATTTGTAAAGCCTCAGAACATAACTAATGAACAGAGGAAATGTTAGTTTAGTGCCAGGAATGCCTACGTTGTTCATTCTGGACCCTATTTTGAAATTGGAATATTTTGAACTTTGTGTTAAATTGGCCAAATTAATTTATTTTGTAGTTGAAACAGTTGACTTGGCGATTTCTTGTGCTCAATCGATAGAATAGAAGTCATACTAGTGAAATAGCTAAGAATTTGGTTGATTGGAATAATGTAATTGGCCTAAAATGGGAGTCAGTCGGCAAAATCACCGATTCATAAATATCGCTGACACATCAAAATTCGCGAGAGCATAATTTCGTCAGTTTTCCACCAAATTTCGTACTTTTTGTTTTATTACCTTCACAAAAAGATTCTCTACGATTTCATAAGAAAAAATAACAAATTTTTTTTTTTTTTGAAAATTCTTGGACACTGGTGCGTGACTCCAGATTTGGGCCTTGGACCCTGAAAGGGTTAAGTTGAAATCCCCCAGGAGCAAGATGTTGGGTTCAGGAGCTGGAAGATTTTCCAGACAGTGGTCAATTTTTAACAGCTGTTCCTGGAATTGCTGGGATGTTGCATCCGGAGGCTTGTAGACTACCACAGTGACTAGGTTTTGGTTCTCGATCTTTACTGCTAAAACTTCCACTACATCATTTGAGGCATTAAGCAGTTCTGTGCGAACAAGTGACTGCAATGTACAGGCCAAACCCTTCCCCCCCTCCCTCCCTTTTTGCCTGTTCACTGTCACACCTGTATAGGTTGTAACCTGGGATCCATATTTCGTTGTCCAAGTGATCCTTTATGTGGGTCTCAGTGAAAGCCGCGAACATTGCCTTTGCCTCTGCAAGCAGTCCATGGATGAAAGTTATTTTGTTTGTTGCTGGCTTTAGACCCTGTATATTTGCAAAGAAGAATGTCATCGGACTGGTGGTATTGTTGGTACTGGGGGGGGTGGTTCCGGCATTAGTATCTGTATCTGTGTTGGTTTGGAGTGGAGGCCATCGACTGTGGTTTTACTCCAGGAATGACTGGATTTGGTGTACGATTTCTGCCATTTCCTGCCAGTTTTTTTTTCCTTCCTGGCACTAAAAAACCTCTCCCTCTTGAGTGGCTGTGGCTACCCAGGTTTTCCCATGGCCTGGATGTTTTGTATCTTTTTGTCCCCTTTAGATGGTGTGCCTGGCAATTTAAGTTATAGCACAGTCTTTCCTGTACTGAAGAGGTACACAGAGGTACAGTTTTTTTGTAGTTTCCAGAAGATTTATTTTTTGGTTCATGCATTATTACAGAAGTCTTAATATGATTTACCATATCCAGGAGGCCCTGCTTGTACAGCAGGTTAGGTTCTGAGCTTGTGCTATAAAGCAAAAGTTTGTTTTTAATTGCATATAAAAAGCCTTTTTGCTTTCAAATGCATATTAAAGCCTGATAGCATGTTTACTCGATCATACACAAGTGAGCAATAGAGCTAGGCCTAAAAAATGCATATATAGTATACACATTGCTTACCTTAAAATAATTTTGTACTTTGCTTAGTGAGTGGTAAATGTATTTATTGTAGGAAGTATGAGTAAGTGAAGAATAATTATAATTGAAAAAACACTGCATTAACAAAGTGCCATAAAGTGGGGCCTGCCTGTATTTTTCATCCTTTAACCCTTTGACTGTTGCAACCCCCATTCTTAGAGTTCGTCGCAAAATATTTGAAAAAAAAAAAATTATGAAGTTATAATATTTTCCTGGTGGAAATGACACCAGAAGTACAAAATTTGATAGACGACTTACTGAATTATGCTCTCGTGAAGTTAGCGATTGTTACCAATAGTTACCCTTGGCGATTTTGTCCAATTTGAGCCCTATTTTTGGCCAATTCCATTGTTCGTCAGCCAAACCCATAACTTTCTTTAGAACTGTTCTATCGATTGAATACAAGAAACCACCCACTCTGATTTCAGCTACCCAATAAAGTGGTCAAGAAATTGGCAATTTGGCCAATTTCATGCAAATTAAAAAATATGCCAGTTTTAAAATAGGGTTTAGAATGAAGAGTGCAGACATTCCTGGCACTAAAATAACATTCTCTGTTCATCAGTCACATCTCCAGGCTCCTCTTATTACTCTTGCTTTCTATTTTGAATTTTTATTTGCTCAAAAAAAAGATTTACTGTTATGCACACTACTGCATTATTGTAATAATTGTATAAATAGTCAACCCATTTGTGACCATTAGAATGGCTAATTGTCCATTTATTGGACAATATCATTTGTTTACTCTTGAACATTGGCAAAATTCGAACAAGTGCACTACTTTGAGCTCCATTTCAAGGTCCTTTTCATAGTGAAACCAATCAAAATCATCTCTATTTCTATAATGTCTTCCATTCTATCAAATGATACCAAGAAATGAAACTAAAACCATAAATACTATACAAAAATGCACCTCAGTTGGCATTTTGTTTTTTTTTTTTCTCATTATGCACTGTGCTGCAGGTTTTTTTTTTAAATACACACTGACCCCCACACCCTGGTTGGCAAGCACCAACAAAGTCTGTTAAAAGTTGAACTGCAGGAGTAGGATAACTCAGAACTTGAAATTAAATTCAGTTAAATGGGACTGAATGTTTACATCTCCTTACTTGTCCTCTCACTTCCCCACCTTTGCTCTTTCACTCCTTCCCTTTTTTTCCAAAAAGATTATTGTTGTGGTTACTGGTTTTCTAATTTTTATTTAGTTATGATTTTAGTGTGAAATGAATAGTGATAGATTTTGATTAGAACTTATGCCATTTTGAAATGTTTCCATTTTAAATTCATACCAAGTTTGTAGAAACTAGAAATTGTAGCTGAAATGGACTTGCCAACATTCATGGGGGTCCATTGTATCTCCTAGACTGGTAATAAATTACGCATGAGCAACACTTGGTTATCTTTATGGTGAAAATGTTTTGCCACAGTGGCTTCAACAGTCCAGTACAAAGAAGAATGAAGATCAAGATTTGACTGATTACCCCACTCTGATCTTCACCTTTCTTTGTATTTGACTGAGAAGCCATTGTGAGGTGAAATACTTCCAGGGATACCCAGGTGGTAATATGTCATTTATCATCTTGTAACATCTGAGCCATTTATCTACATACTGGTAACAAGTAGAGGTGTTCCTTATGCAACATTTCAAGTTTTATATTTGCCTAATTAGATTGCAGTAGGTCCCCCGTATCCATGGTTCTGGTTTCCAGTTTATCCACGGTTTACCATTCCTCGAAAATAATTCTTAATTTTGCTTAATTACTCAAAAGCACAAAAGTCTAAGAAGCTACAAAGTGCTTTCCTGTGTAAACTAAAAACCCCTTACACAGTATAGGGTTCATTACTATCTGCATTTTTGGGTATCTGTGGTAGGTATTGGACTAACCCCCCCCCCCCCAGATATGGGGTTTCTACTGTATTATAGTAAAAATTTACAAGTTTAGAATAGGATGTTTTTTAAAATGGGTTTTGTTAAAGATGTGTTGAAAAGAAATTAAGGTTTAACTTTTTGTTGAATTAATAAATTGGCAGGTACAATATTGCACTCTAAAGAAAATCTGCACATTACTTGCTTAATGGCAAATTATCTTGCACTAGCTGTTAATTTAAATTGCTGCTTATCTCTTGCTTAACAGCTTTCTAACATTGAAGGCAAAAAAAATTGGTCGGAATTTTTTCACCTGGATGATAGTCTTGAATTCTTGTATTCTAGCAGGTTATGCATCCAATATTTCGTAAAAACTTTAAATTATAAAATACTTATTACTCCTTTGTTTATGAAGGGAAGAGGGAGTGAATTATTAAAATTAAGTTTACACATGCTGTGATGAAACTAAATTTGTTCAAATGGATATTAACTTGCATTGATCTGTAAATAGCTTATCTACTTGATTTGCTGTTCAAATTTTAGAGGCTTTATTTTTCATGTGGGTTAAGAATTTTGGAACTGAAGCCATTTTTTTCTTTAATCCTTTTGCATCTTTTAGCTAAATTATGGTAAAAATTTAGAGGGGTATCATATCACTTTCATAAATTAATGCCAACTAAATGTTTTCCTTGAACACTGGGATTGATTCAAATTGGTCTGTGACCTGCATTACATTTCCAGGTTTACTAATGTACTCCATTTTGCTTTGCTTGCTGGTATTGTGGGTTGTTGATCACAAGTTTCTGGAGCTTGAGGAGCCTTTTGAAGCTGTGATAGTTTCTGTAGGTAGCTTTGCATGAACAAACACTTTTATTGAAGTTTTAGAGATTGTTGTGAAGCTGGATAGGGTTGAAGGTATGGGATTTAAAGTTGGATTTCTCACATGCATGGGTTGTGCACCATTTTTGTAGCCTTAAATACTCTCCTAACTTTCAAGGCTTACTTATCCTGCTTTATTCACGCGATAGGTGCCGATTTTCACTAATCACTTGTAATTCATACACTGAAAGAGGCAAAAGGATGCAGGGAAAGAAAGAAATACTTCAGTCTTGCATCCCCAAATTCTGTGCCCCTAACAACTAACCTATCAGTAGCTTGTAACAAGATTGGCCTCCTTGCTCTACAATGCATGCCATCAGTGTTTTGTCGGACGTGGACGCGTCGGGATCCAGTTACTGGGGTGGGTGTCCTGTGCTGGGACATCCACGCTCCTCGCTGTGCTCCCAACAAGAGGAAAGGTAACAGAAGTGACAAAGGTCTGTTGGCATGGGTTTGGCATCCCTGAATGTCCAGGTTGCTATATCTAGAGTAAAGCAAACCATTGGTTAGTTTAAATTTTGTCTAGATACATACTGGTTCATCTAAGCCAAACTGCATTAGATTAAAAAATGAATGAAATGGTATTTTTTAATGTGCATGTATTGCTAATATGGTTATATATTACCTTCCCAGTTCTAGTAAAAAAAAAAAATAGCTTAACTGCATCACTGTTTAAAATCCTTGGTAAAATGTTTTTTTTTTTTATTTTAAAAATCTTTAGCAACACAAGCATAGTCAATTATGAATTTTTTTTTTATTCTTGTTCTGCAGATATTGCCCTGTTGGGACTAGTTAACTCAGGCTTACAGACCTTAAAACTATTTCAAACCACAGCTTCTCTTGGCCAGTTGCTTAAAGCTTAACTTATGGGTTGTGGTGGCAGCAGCATCATGTAATATGGTAGAATTATTTGGGATATGACAACTTTTTAAGCCGCCTTGCATCTCTGGTATGGTACATATTCAATTTGTCAAACTAGTGTGCATACTCTGTAAATGACTAGACCTGCTATAGTTCATACAAGTCTATAGGCCTGTTACTGCTAATACTCTGAAAATTTAGCATTTGCTGAAAGTAGTGTAAATATATGAAAAATTTGGTTGATATTTATGCTGAAACTTGGTATTTTAGTGTGCATAACTTAAGCCTTTTATAATCATGAAATGAGTCTTTAATTTCAGTAGAACCAGTGGTAATAAGTTTTGACAATTTACTTCTAACGTCTGCATTTTTTGCAGCTATTAATCCTGCAGCACGTGACAGCCAGGAGACAAAGACTCCTGAGCAGCCCCAGCAGAAGCAGAGGCAACGTGTTCCCCCAGGTGGCTTCTCCACTCAGCTGTGGTAAACCTAGGGCCTGCCACACCACTTACCCTTGCCCAAGACTTCATGTGCAGGCATTCTCTTTGGAACATTAACAAAAGCTATTTGATATGACCAACATGCCTACTGGAAATGTAGCTTGTAACATGTGGTGATGTTTGCTTGTATAACATTAAAAGCTTTGTTGAAATATGATGGCTGACATGTAACTAGAGGTTTACTTAGAAATACTCTGAATTATTTTGCTGTCATAAAATTTAGATTAGATTAATTTTGATGTACAGTAATATAAATTATAAAAGCACATATAGTTTTAGTTTTACTATACTTCTGCTGAAATGCATAAATAGTGCAGAGTATCTATTCTTTACCAAACAAAGCAAGGCTCTTCTGGTTACTTTTTCCTTTACTTCAGGATTTAGTGAGCTGCATTAAGCCATGCAATGGTATGGTATGGCATGCCATATCTGGCTTTCATTTGTTACACAAATGACAAGATTATAAAAATTGCCATACTTATTTGTTGCTCAATCATTTCTAATACCATTAGAGGTTGGAATAACTAAGTTTTGTAGGGCCATTCATTAAAGCCATTCCATGTACTTTTAAGAATAGTTGCTCCAGCATTGGGGTATAAAAAATGTACCTAATGGAGTGTTAAGTGTACCTAATGTTCCATCCGTTAAATATAAATCGCCTTTTTGTAAGGTAGCTTTTATTTCCTAATCTAAAAGTTTACCCAATTTAAAAGTATCACAATTGTAAACAATAATAACCCTTTGTTTACACATACCATCTGTGATAATTTTGTTATTGCTAGAAGGGTCGAAATATAAATGTAGTATCTCAGTTCCACTAACATTTGGGAATGCTCCTTTATAGAACAGGCTCCGTTTGGCTGTAGCATAAATTGTTTGTATTAATTTTAATAAATCTAATATAATCTTTTATGTTTTTTAATCCATATACATAGTGAACAAATTGAGCAGGTATCTCTTCTACTCTTCATTAAAGATGTGGGGATGTTTTAAACTGGAGCCGCTTTCCTGCATTTTATTATCTGATTCTGCATCTTTGCTAAGGCAGAGATTTATAGGATATTGAAAATTGGTGTGGATAGAAAGGTCCTAGCAAGTAATAAAGTAACAGGCAGGTACATAATGTATTGGCATTTTATCAGCTGAACATTGACACTTTCCCTCAAATTAAAAACCATCGTCGTTGTAAGGCTACATTAATCTTGCTCATGTATAGATTCCAGAAGCTTCTGTTAGCTCGTATTAGTTTAATGTTAAGCTGTCGTGTATACTAGCATATAAAGAAAAAAAAGGCACAATACTGTGACTGGAAAAATATGCGCACAACCCTCACATAGGAGAAAGAAATTTAGGACTTTTCAGTCCAGCTTAGACCATTTACTAGTTAATGGTCTAAGTTGAACCGAAATATTGTAATATTTATTTCTACAAGTACATGTACAAAGTATACAGGCCTAGCTGACATCAGTGACACTATATAGAAAGCCGCTTATGCAGAGCAATTTGGGCACATTAGGTCAGTTTTATTCCAGGATGCTACCCACACCAGTTGCCTAACACCCATGTACCCATTTTATAGTGATGGGTGAACAATGACAGCAGGTGTCTTTTGGAAAAGTGTCCTAGTGTTTTCCAGCCATACTGGGGATTCAAACTTTGACTTCAGTGTTTGAGCTGTGGGTTTTGTGTATTAGTCAATATAATTTCAATGCCCAGATGCATTCATTCTTAACACCGTCCTTGCTGAGTGTCTCCTTTTAGAACACTTGCTCAATAGACCAACTGTTCACATCAGCTATTTTACTTTGCTCACTTTCTAACCCTATTTCTACTAACCTCCAAGTTATGTATATCATCACAACCCTGTATGAACCATGAAGGTTTAACACTGCAATTGCATTCCTGAAAATGATGTAATCAGATTTCCCTGTAAACTGAATCGAAGAACTTGTGCGGAAGACTAGTTTAGTATTTGAGTTCATTAGGTTGTCCCCTCCCTTACCCCCAAAAAGTTATAGGTATCTAAATCATGTGATTGTATGTGGATGCAGTAATAAGTTATATTTAACAAAATACTTTTTTTCAGAGCTTGCATAAATATTACTACTAGCCTTAAATTCTGGTTACTGGTGCATGCTGATTTTGATAGCTGTAGAGGAGGATGGTATGGCCCTACTGGGTTGAAGTGGAAGGTTAGGGATAGTTTAGCCGAAGTGGATCATTGAGAGACATGCACTGTTAATGATTGTACTAGCTCTGAGTGTCTGTATTGCATGTCTAGTCGTTCACCCTGCATTGCATTATACAGCAAATGGTAAGGCATCAGCTGCTCTAGACTCAATTTCAGAGCATTGCTTCTAGATTTGTCAGGGTCCTCCTTAGTGAAAGTCTGATAGTTTTGCAACATGAGACTGCTCATGTAGCTGTTGCAATGATAGCTTTTTCTTCAGTTTCTACCTGGGTTATTCATTGCACAAGCTTGTATATTTGCCTCATTCAAGCCATAAGCTTGTGCCATCTACATCACACATGCACCAATCTTAAGTTAATCTGGTATCTTCATTTTCTTGGAAATGCCAAGAATTTCGCTCTTTGCAGTTTCAGGATAGCATTCGTTCCTCTTAGGTGCCGTTGTCACTATCCAGAGAAGAGTTGGGATGCTGAAAAGTTAACTCGTGAACATAGGCAGAGTATGGTATTGGATGCATACGAACAAAGTACTGGGTGAAGGTTGTATGTTGTGTAAGCCTTTCCCGTGAGACTATGAACTCTCCATGAAGTTCGCTGTGAGACGGGGAAAGACTGGTGAAGGCCACTTTTTTTTTCCCCTACACGAATTCAGTGTAAACCAATTTTTTACATTCGCCAAAAATAGGGTTCAGTTTTTGCAGTTGCTGGAGCAACCAGACGGTCCACTGTAATTACTTTGCTCTGAACCTTCAGTTTCATTAAGCTATTGTGGCCCAATGTAAGGCATCCCCTCAACACTTCATGGTCAAAGTAATAAAACGATCAGTGGTGGCAAATTCCAACTACAGTAATGTCCCATACTTGAACATAGAAAACCACCATTAAGGGGGGTTTTCCATATTCAATTCCATATTTCCTTGTTGCCAGTGAAGGGCCCTTGACCCAAAGAACTTAACTACCCTTACTTTCCTTGGGTCAGATTTGGATGCCTCTCATTTTCCTGGCTATAATGTCTGCAGGTTCAACACTTCCCATGAATATAATTGGATAAGGAAAGAAGGGAAAAACTTGGAAGGCACAGGTAAGGAACCTTGAAATAATGTAATATATTTTGTCAAACTGAATTTCGAATGAGTTTTCCTTTCAAGATAGGTGCCTTGATTCAAGGAATTAGATCAGTCATCTGGGTTCAAACCTGCTGGCCTCTTGATTCGCTAGTACTACATAACCCAGTATGGGATTAGTGTTTCTCAAACTAGTCGAGGAGTTTCTTGATGCTGTTTACAAAGGAATTTGAGTTCTCCAGATCTGTCCTGATTGCTCCAAAGTGCTACGGCATGAAATTTTTCACTATGATTATAATGGAAAGTACTAGGGCAAGTGCACACTGGCTTGGAAAATAATTGGTTCGATTCAGATCACCTGTTCTCGCAACTGAGATAGAGCTTATTGCCTTCATAGAAAAAGAAATATCTCAACTACTGGGGATGTTTTTAGTCGCTATTCTGAAGTGACCGACAGACTTCCTCTTTGACTTTGTCGGCATCAGATTTGCTACACCAACTTCGATTGTGTACTTTCTTTAGCACTCGCCTTCATCCTTTGGTTTAGCGCTTAGTTTTAGAATAGCTCTTCACCCTCTCTGATCAGGGATATTACACATCTTAGCATACCCTACCCTGAAATGCTAATATGACCCATAGGGGTTTAGTGCTTGGATATGAATATAATCTGAACTGAAGATTATATATACACTACTTTGAAAACATTTAGATAAGTCTATAAACTGTTGTATGTACATATATGCTGTACCTGCAAGTGCAATAAAATTACACAAGGTTTAGAGCCTTATTTTAACATCAAGACAGGTGCCTAAATGCCAATGAGGGGATCATGATCCAGGAAATTGAACTTGTCCTTCCTCTCCCTATATTGAACCTGATTGCCTATCACTAAGTGTTATGACCCTTATTCAGTGCTGTATAGCCCTTGTGGTTTAGCGCTTCTTTATTATAATATGACCCTTATGGGTTTAGTACCTTCTCATTCATGTAACAAGTGCAGCATTACCCTTTTGGGTTTAGCTCATGAATGTTTGTGCAGTGCTGTATCACCCTTGTGGGTTTAGCGCTTAGTTTTGATTATAATACTAATTAACTTTCTTGTTGCTCCTAGCTTCCTCTCTCCCTTGAATGTAATTATCTGAAAATGAACAATACGGCTACTAAGCTCGTGATGCAAGGAATTGGACCTGTGCTCCCCTTAGATCGAATCCAAATATTTCCCAATTGCTGTATGAGCCTTATGGGTTTAGCACTCCCATGAATGTAATAATTTGGAATGTTCACTTGAAAATTTTACTGTAAAATTGGTATTTAATTTTTTCCACATCTTAGTGGCTAATACTTCTTAAAGAATGATAACTTTTGGGTTAGGCTATGTAATGTTTATTTAACAATTTACAAATTAAACTTGGAATTGTCAGGCTGAGATACCTGGAAAACGAGTCTTCTAGTCGGCTGCAAATTGTGTAGGCTTTTTCCTCTCAGGCTTGCAATTTTGTGTTTTTTAATTTTCCAGTTTTATTAAACTGGCTTTGCACAATAACTAAGAATGGCTCTTCTGATTAGCATAAAACCTTAAATATTTGTATATCTCAGAATTAGAATTTAGGCTACGTAAATTGAAATCTATGAATTTCATCCCCTCAAGGAAGGTTCCTTGATGTTGGTGAGGGGCTCTTGATTTAGGGAATTGGATCTGTGCTCCAGTTCCCCGAATTAAGCCTGAATGCCTTCCACATCCCCTCCCCAGGTATAATAATAATAATAATAATCCCCTCCCCAGGCGCTGTATAATCCTCCGGGTTTAGCGCTTCCCCCTTGATTATAATAATAATCCTCCCTAGGCGCCGTATGATCCCTATGGGTTTAGTACTTCCTCGTGAAAGCAATAAGGGCTTCGCTAATCACTTCAGGCTTTGAGTACTGACGTATTTTGAGATATAGGTCTGTTAGTGCTTCTGATCATCTTAGTGACTGTTTCAAATTAGTTTTAACTGTGTGCGCGCGCCAGTTTGCCATTTTTACTGAAGAAATTAGGCCATTCTCCATGCGATGGGATTTCAAACATGCGATTGCAACAATGCAAAACAAGCCACTAGGCCCCTAGGGGATGGTAAACCCTAGCTCGAGGCCATTCGATCTGAGATGCTTCGTGAGAAGTTGTAATGTTGCAGGATGGAAATAACTGGTATAAAATACCGACATAATGAAAATATAAACACGTGCAGTATAATTTGATCCTTTACTGACAACGTTTCGCCCCCACTGGGCTTTTTCAAGTCAAACGGGGGGGGGGCGTTGACCCCCGAAACCTTCTCCAGGTATTTCCCCTCAAGGAAGGTTCCTTGATGTTGGTGAGGGGCTGTTGATTTAGGGAATTGAATCTGCTCCAGTTCCCCGAATTAAGCCTGAATGCCTTCCACATCCCCCCCCAGGCGCTGTATAATCCACCGGGTTTAGCGCTTCTCCCTTGATTATAATAATAATCCAGGTATATTCGTCCTCGATGACGCACCGATTTTATTGGGTTATCCTGGGTGACTAATCCTCCAGGGTTTAAAAAAAAAAAAAAAAAAAAAAAAAAACTTATCAAAGTTTGGCCGCCAGTTATACAGTACAACAATTTGTGAACATAATTGTTCGATCCCAGTGTTAAGTTATTCGCATGGTTCTAGTGTTTTGTTATTCGCTTCTTGGGTAGTGTGGAAGACACACGTGAGAGGCGGTGCCAGAGACTTGCACGTACTGCATACATTTGACGGATAAGCTGGCATGTATCCTCATATAAACTACTGGATTATGGTGGCAGGACCAGACCCTGAGGAGAGGAGTCCTGGACGCCATGTGAAGGTTAGTACAACTGAGTGTTAGTAGCCGGCAGAGGCGTAAAATTGTAAAACAAGCTTTTCTAATTCCTGTAGGGACTGACTTCTAAAAGTTTGGCGCCCCACTCCCTTCTTTGCATTATGTAATGTAAAGCTATATGAAATTACTTGATAATAACTCTAGACTGAATCACAAAAGCTTGCGCTGCACTTGCCTGCGAACTTTGCTAAAGAATGTGTCTGTATTCTGCCACATTAACATGACAAGCAATAAGGCACCACCAGGCAGCGCTGTATAGCCCTTGTGGCTTAGCGCTTCTTTTTGATTATAATAATAATAATAATAAGGCACCACTGCCCAGGCCTCCGGTTTATCTGCACTGGTATACCCCTCAAGGAAGGTTCCTTGATGTTGGTGAGGGGCTCTTGATTTAGGGAATTGGATCTGTGGTCCAGTTCCCCTAATTAAGCCTGAATGCCTTCCACATCACCCCCCAGGCGCTGTATAATCCTCCGGGTTTAGCGCTTCCCCCTTGATTATTATAATGCACTGGTATATCTGAATTAAATTGCTAGAGGTTGTGAAATAAAGACGGCGCTAGAATTTCTACGGGGGTGGGGGATCTTTGAAGTAATTGTTTTGAAGGGGAGTCTAAGAGACCTGTTTTGAAGAAGAGTTATTATCATAAATGTTATTAATTGTGTTTTATTAAAGCCTCCCAAGGTTCTCTTGGCGCCCCACCTCGACCACTCGTTGAGAGGACCAAGAAACAAGTACCTGGGAGTTGAACTGTTGTGGTAGTATCCATACCCAGGTGTTGATACCCTCCCTTGAATCATATCTGATTGTCTCCCATTTTCCAGGCACTATATTACCCCTGTGGGCTTGGCAAGTTCTAGTAATAATAAAATAATATAGTTTAGCGCTTCTTTATTATTATAATAATAATAAAATAATATAGGCAGGGCTGGGCTATGAAGTGAGCTACAGTAGAATAACATCTATTCTGTAAATTGAAATATTTAAAACTTTTCATGTCTAGAACTCTAGTCGGGATCTAAATCAGTTAAAAGTGACAAAGTAATCCCTACCGCCTGACCCACCATATCAAAAAATTACACTGGCTAAAATGTTAATGATAGACGTCTAGGATATCCTATATAAGTGGTTCGAGACACCCAGGGGTAAAGTGAGGAGTTCTTGAACTGAAGGTTTGGAGCTGCTCTAGCCTTGGATCAAACTTCATTCCTCATCTGAAAAAGCCCTAAGGGTTTATTGCTCTCTCACTAACAATGATAATCACATTTAAGGTGCTATTTTTATGCATTTTGGGATAGAAAATTAAACACATTGATATGTACTATATTTTTATGTGCATAACAAAAATATATGTATATATATATATATATATATATGTATATAGTATATATATACTTCATTTTCCTTGTGTGCGACAGGTGAGCAAGTCTAGATGCAAGTTGTCACAATTCATTTTTTCTCTTATACTACATGTATGATTGAATGTATTATTATATAATGAGTTATCGCTATTACTGAATATATATTGTTGAAAGAAAACTCGAAACGAGAGGGACGCAGGAAATCACATGTAATACTAAATGTATTTGTTGAGATGGTCGGACATCTGGCCAGTGTGGACGTGTTGAACCTGAGCAGCCGCGAGGCTCACGACGCAACAGGAAAGGAGTGAGAAATATTTTAAGTGAGGCTTGACAAGGTTGTATTAGTTCGCTCCAGCTTTGTGTTATGCGATATTGTTCATATATTACTCTAATGCCTCGACCAGATGAACAACAAATTTATAAAGGCGAGTCATGTCATACTATTACTATGTACATGGTGCGGCATAAGTCACATATTTCTGTTCATCCTCCAACGCTGTGAAACACGAAAAATAGGTTAATACAGCATTAAATGGAATTTCTGCTAAACCACAAACGGGTCAACTCACTGCTGCAACCAGAGTATTAAAATGGTTGTTGCCAAGTTAAGTGCTGTCAAATGTAAAATTAATTGTCGGTAAAGCGATGTATGCCATGTATAAAAAACTCGTCAAGGACGCCTAAGACATTTTTAAAATAGTAATTAATTGCCTTGAGATTTAAACCTATTATATGCCAGATAGGCATATGTCGTGCTTATCACGCAGAGCTTTCCTTTTTTGTTGTAAGGGGAGAGTCACTGTTCGTTGATGCCCGTAAATGGCTCTTGATCAGAATAAATGGAATTCCGCTATCCTACCTTCAGTCAGACCGAAATACCTCCTGTTAGACTAGCTGAGTATAAATTGTCTTTGCTCATTACATAAGTTCAAAAATTAATTAAACATGAAAAAATGTATTTAATTGATGTTTTATATCATAAATGATATAGGATGGGTAGAAATAAGCTAAATTGTATTACATTAGTTTTCTTTCAATAAGTTTCGGTGAGAGTGCTAAGTTACCGAAATTTTGACATATAATTAAAATTTAGTTTAAAGTGTCAATTCATATTTCTCTCTCTCTCATATATATATATATATATATATATATATATATATATATATATATATATATATATATATATATGTCGTGCCGAATATGTAAAACTGGTCAATTAGCAAGAACTCATTTAAAATTAAGCCCTTTCAGAAATTTTCTCTTATACGTTTAGAGATATATTTTTTTCATTAATGTTAATGTAAAAAATTTTAATTTTGCACCAAAAGAATCTTAGAAAACTTACCTAACCTTATTATAACAAGAGCAATTTATTTTAGTCTACCCCAACTAAGTATATTTTAGATTTGTTTACAATAATTTAATACT